GCTCATACTGATTTTGTTCTATTGTCAATTATTTATTCCAGGTCAATTTATTTTCTGGAGCTTTGTTTATTCGCCTAGCTCTTGGATGGAACCTTTATTTGGCAATTCTGTTGATGCTTGGAATGACATGTCTCTGTACAATTACTGGTCAGTTAGTGTTTTAATCTTTATTTGGCTTCTTGACATGTAACGGGTGGGTAGGGAGGGTAAGGATATCTTGCCATACAACTTTAAGACCCCATCCCTGACTGACATCACTGTTTTGTATCCGCTTTCTGTTTTTGGTTGTTGCAAAATTATGTTGATTTTTTTTTTGTCTTGCATGTAATCATGGTCAGGAACATTCCTATCTAAAGTCAAGTGGAGTGCCAACCCCTACCTTATGTTGACAAATTGCTTCCCTTATCTATGAACATTCTGTTTTGTTGTCAATCTTATCAGGTGGACTTACAGCAGTGATCTACACAGATACACTCTGCACCTTTCTAATGGTTACAGGATCGTTAACAGTCATGGGACTTGGTAATTTTGTTTGTCATGCTACAAAATAAAAGTATTCTTTTTGTGATGGTGTTATCATCAGATACTTAATCTAAACCACTCGGAGATCAAGGGTCCCTGCGTTTGGTTTTTAAGCAACTGTAGCTGAAGAATGACTGAGGCTGGGTGTATGGGAAGCACAACTCCTTAACTGTCAGATGGAGTCTTCTCTTATTAGGTTGCTTTTCCTTAACCAGCTACCACAAGTAAAACTATTGGTGAGCACTGTTATTCACCAGCAATCCCTCCATGGTTGTTACGATATCCATTTTGACAGTGTTTGACCATTCATTTTGTTGCAGGGTTTTCTGAAATTGGTGGTTATGAGGGACTGAAGGAGAAGTACATGATGGCAGTGTCAAATGACACTCTGTACTTGAATAGCAGCTGTGGTCGGCCAAGAGATGACTCATTTGTCATGCTGCGAGATCCTCTCAATTCTGACATGCCTTGGGCTGGGTTCATTTTTGGACAAACAATTGCTTCCATCTGGTATTGGTGTGCTGACCAGGTTTGTATCGTGCTCTTAGTTTGTGAAATTTAAACCCTAGTTCAGCTGTTCACTGTAAATGCTGGTTTAGATGGCAAACTTTGTCATGTGCAACAAGCTTATGACAAGTCTGTGACAAAAATTGTAGTGTGTAAATCAACCTACAGCTTGATTTCAAGACTGTCTTTACGACAGGAAAAATGCTGTGGAAGTTTGAAACATGTTTTAAAATCCTTCATGACATGGCTGGCAAAGCAGGGCTATCAAACTCAGCATATGAAAGCATGCTTCATAATCCAGTGATGCCCGCTCATTGTGTAAGCAAAGTTAGCTTTGCAAGAGAAGTTTTTTCCCCATTATATTCGCATTGTCATGCTTTTAGAAGTGCATTATCAAGTTATTATGGACTTGGGAAGTTAACAGAGCACTCAAAAAGCTATAGTTGCTGTTGACTATTAAAGTGTTGAGCAGGTCTTATGCTTGTGTTGTGCTCTGCAAGCTCCCTGTACATGCATCCTGACTCAGTCATGTATGCGAGAGCATGAATCAAGCAGGGCATGCTACAAAAGTCACACAGGTCTAAGTTGTACCAGGGTATTCATTCGTTTTGTTTTGTGTTTTTGTTTTGTTTTGTTTTTTTTTGTTTTGTCGTGCAAGGTTATTGTTCAAAGAGCTCTTGCTGCCAAGAGTTTGTCTCATGCTCAGGGAGGCTGCCTGTTGGCTGGTTACATTAAGGTCTTGCCTCTCTTTACCCTGGTCATGCCGGGAATGATCAGCAGGGTGCTGTCACCAGGTAAGGGAGGGGAGGTAACGGTAGCTTTGTCACCTGGGAAGGAAGTTGAGGGAAGGGAAAGAAGTAGATTGAAAATACTTTAACAGCTCCTTTTCAAGGTCAAATGAAAGCTTTGCATAAAGGGACAGCAAGATAATTATTTATTATTATGATCTAAACTAGAGCGGTTTTCAAATGAGTGTTCAAAGTAATCAGGCAACTACTTTGGTTTTGGATTGGTTTTAGTACAGTTTGAGACTGGCAGAGTATTCTAATTGGTAAGTTATTGGTTTGTTGTGTTTACTCTGGCCACAAATTGTGTTTCTTAGAAGATAGTTAAGTAGATGATATGACTGTACATTTTCAATGTGTTAACTGGGTCAATTTGAGATTTTTCCATTGGCTTATTTTCCCTGTGCATTTTTCAGATCGAGTTGCTTGTAGTGTTCCAGAGAAGTGCATGGAAATTTGTGGCAGTGAGGTTGCTTGCACCAATATTGCATACCCAGAGCTTGTTCTCAAACTGATGCCGACAGGTAATCTATGACCTTGTTTACGTGATCTACAAATTATGCATCTTATTATGTGACTGAAAAAATAACTTCATTGTGATTGGCTGACAAGCGGCCAATTTATCATTAATTTTTAATTTGCACTGCAGTGCAAATTAATGTGGTTGCACTGGTAACTTTTAAAGTCAGACGATAAAATCATGAGTAATTAGGTGCCTAAGGATTTACACTACTCGTGATAATTAACAAGAGTGTGCAAGTTTGAGAAAATTTCGTAGGAGTAAGATTTTGTTTTGCAGTCGCAATTTACTGAGAATAATGACTTTCATAATTCCCATTACTTGTGTGTTTGACAACATGTTAATATTGTCTTGAGAAGTTAACTGTTGATCACACTGTTCAGGTCTCAAGGGATTGATGATGGCTGTGATGATGGCGGCACTGATGAGTGACTTGACGTCGATCTTTAACAGCGCCAGTACTCTGTTCACTATTGATGTCTATGGCAGATTCAGAACAAAGGCTTCAGTGAGGGAACTCATGATTGTGGGACGTAATTTTGTTCTTCGTTGTTGTGGTTTGAAGGGAGTATGCTACATGCATTTGTATTTGTATTTTTTATTTCTCTACTTCAAGACTGGAATACAGCAGTGTTAAAATAAAAAGTAGTGATAGCAANTTGTGGTTTGAAGGGAGTATGCTACATGCATTTGTATTTGTATTTTTTATTTCTCTACTTCAAGACTGGAATACAGCAGTGTTAAAATAAAAAGTAGTGATAGCAAAGTGGAAAGGGCAAGATATTAACCACTGAGTGACGTTGTTACAGGAAAATCTCAGTACGGCAAGGCCGAGGTTGGAGATTTTTCCATTAAGACTGAACATTCAAGGTTAATAAGTAGTTTATTATAAACTGTTTGGCTGTTCCATTCGTCTTGTCTGGCATCAACTCGTTCATAAATTAGACCTGTGAATTCACTGGTCTCCCGAAATTGTAGCTCATTGGGGTATTAGAATTCATTCTCAGAATGCTCTTTCTCACTCATCATTACCAGCCACTACAATTTTTAGAAAAAAATCAAATGGTGTTATAATTACCTTTTGCTTTGTTTTTGCAGGCCTGTAATTGATCTGTGGGTATTAAGGGAGAATAATCCCCTAGAATTAGCCAATCAGAGCACGCGTTATATCAGCTAAAACATATTATTATAATTACGCATACACAAAATGGCTTCAAGTTATCTAATGGGCTCCATTCCCTTTGTTTTTGTATCNTAAAAAGTAGTGATAGCAAAGTGGAAAGGGCAAAATATTAACCACTGAGTGAGGTTGTTACAGGAAAATCTCAATACGGCAAGGCCGAGGTTGGAGATTTTTCCATTAAGACTGAACATTTAAGGTTAATAAGTTGGTTATTATAAACTGTTTGGCTGTTCCGTTCGTCTTGTCTGGCATCAGCTCGTTCATAAATTAGAACTGTGAATTCACTGGTCTCCTGAAGTTGTAGCTCACTGGGGTATTAGAATTCATTCTCAGAATGCTCTTTTTCACTCATCGTTACCGGCCGCTGCAATTTTCAGAAAAAAATCAAATGTTTTAATTACCTTTTGCTTTGTTTTTGCAGGCCTGTAATCAATCTGTGTGTATTAAGGGAGAATAATCCCCTAGAATTAGCCAATCAGAGCACGCGTTATATCATCTAAAACATATTATAATTACGCATACACAAAATGGCTTCAAGTTATCTAATGGGCTCCATTGCCTTTGTTTTTGTATGTTCATTGGCTTCTTTGCTGCATGATGGCTAATGGTTATAGCTAATGGTTTTTTTGTCATCTTTGATGTGTTGTTTAGGATCATGGTTGCCATAATGACTGGGATAGGTATCCTGTGGATTCCAGTTGTGCAGAATGTACAGGGAGGGCAGCTTTTCCTTTACATACAAGCTGTTAGTGCATATTTCTCTCCTCCAATCGCAGCTCTTTATCTGATTGCCATTCTTTGGACCAAGGCAACAGAAAAGGTTTGTTGTAATGCATTTTTATCTACCTTGCAAAGGGTTAGCACCCACACGGCAAATAACCAGTGTTTAGAAAATAACCCAAATAAAATATGCGCGCTTATTGTTTAAAAATCTTGTTTATAGCTCGAGAGAAACACTGAAAAAGTTAACGAAACCCCTACACTCCTACAGGAAACTTGTGCCGGAAACCTTGCAATATAACTTGATTCAAATATGACAATTTCCTGCACATGCCCATAACAATATAGGATTATTTTAACACTCTTTTTTTTTTTCCGAGAAGCTTGTGTCGCTAATTAATTGACGTCTTGCATTTCTTTCCAAGTATTTCTCTTATTAAATCCAGGTTTTTTGCTTTTGATCTCAGGGTGCCTTCTGGGGTATGATTGTGGGGTTCATTGTGGGTGCCATTCGTATGATCCTGGACTTCACGCACCTGGAGCCTCGGTGTGGTGAAGAGGACACTCGCCCGTCAATCATAGCCAAGGTCCATTACATGTACTTTGCTCTGATTCTCTTCTGGATCACGGTCATCACCATTGTAGTTATCAGCTTGTTTACAAAACCAATGAAGGACGGAAATGTAAGTAAAACAAACACATGTATGCTTAGTTTGTGCGTCTTTTTTTTTTTTTCTTGTAGGGAGCTAAAGTAGCTTTTCTCGCCTTTGCCGCCATTTACAGGTTTTCCCGCGCTTGCTGCTAGCCACGTATTTTCCCGCGCTTGCCACTCGTTACTCACTTTCCCGCGCTTGTTACTAATCACAAGTTGTTTCCATGAGTTCTGATTGGCTCATTATACCTTTGCTGGAGTGATTGGATCCGTGTTTGCTTTTCAAAGCTTTAACTCAATAACTTTCTAGCAGTCATCGTAAAGTCCTTTCTATAGGAAGTTTAGGGCAGCAAATGCCGTGCGTTCTAGCGTTGTTTTTGGCTGGTTCCTTAGGTTTGACACACGTTTGAGTTCGAGTTTAGTTACTTACTAATACTTTGGTTATTACTTTGACCCTCTTGACTTATCATGTGCATGTTTTCACCGACAGGTAGCTCGGCTGACCTGGTGGACTCTGCACGAGAAACCATCCGAGACGGACGTCATGGAAGAGGCTAGAGACGAAGAGATCGAGATGCAAGATCTGCCGGATGAGGAAGGAGAAGGAGAAGGAGCTGAAGAAGGAAAGAAAACAGGAGGACAAGAAGAAGAAGAAGAGGAAGCGGGCGCTGAGAATGAGCAAGATGTGACTGAGAAGACTCCAGCAGTAGCTACAAGACCTAAAAGTCATTCATTCAGTGAGTGAAACCTGGTGATTTTGAATTGAAGTTCACGCTCTGTTCGGCTCACCAAAACAAACGCTCTCGCACATTGCAGTAAAATTTGCTTTCAGGTTTAGTATTCCGTTCTGGCTAGCACTTGAGGGACCGTTAGTTGGGAAGAGTAGTCAACTGTGATGTGAATAAATATGTATTACAAATCAGCAAATGTAGCAACACAGTTAGATATTCCTTGTTGTTTCGGCTTTGCCCCATAAGCCTAGTTCACTCTAGCAACAAAACGACAGAAACATAACGACATAAGAAGGACGTTCTGTTGTTATGTTTGCAATGTGAACATTCACACATAATACACTGTAACAACATAACAGCATGAACTTAACAACATAGGGGGAAAAAACTGATCTTTTCTTTATGTAAAAAACTGATCTTTTTCTTGTCTTTATGTCGATGGTCACATTACCAACATATGCGATTATGTATTTATGTCATTATGTCGCTATATCACTAGTGTGAACCAGATCTTACATGCACCTCTTTATCTTTCAGGGCGTAAACCGGAGTCCAAACTAAAGCGATTCTACTCGTGGTTCTGTGGCTATGACGCAGAAACTGAAGAAGCCAAACGAGCTGCTCATGAACAGCATGAACGACTCGCCATGATTACATCACTGGAACGGAANTTGCAGTAAAATTTACTTTCAGGTTTAGTATTCCGTTCTGGCTAGCACTAGAGGGACCGTTAGTTGGGAAGAGTAGTCAACTGTGATGCGAAAAAATATGTATTACAAATCAGCAACTGTAACAACACGGAGAGAGATTCCTTGTTGTTTCGGCTTCGCCAGCTTAAGCCTAGTTCACTCTAGCAACAAAACGACATAAACATGACGACGTAAGAAGGACGTTGTGTTGTTATGTTTTCAAAGTGAACATTCACACATGGTACACTGTAGCAACATAACAGCATGAACTTAACACCATAGGGGGAAAAAACTGATCTTTTTCTTGTCTTTATGTCGATGGTCACATTACTGTACCAACATATGCGATTATGTATTTACGTCATTATGTCGCTATATCACTAGTGTAAACCAGACCTCACATGCACCTCTTTATCTTTCAGGGTGTAAACCGGAGTCCAAAGTAAAGCGATTTTACTCGTGGTTCTGTGGCTATGACGCAGAAACTGAAGAAGCCAAGCGAGCTGCTCATGAACAGCATGAACGACTCGCCATGATTACATCACTGGAACGGAACCCTTACGCCGAAACCTTCCTCAACATTAATGTCATTATTATCCTCGCTGTTGGACTCTACCTTTACATTTTCTTTTCAATTTAAAGGTCTTGTCGTAGCCGGTTTTATTGATTTCCAATCCAGTTTAACTGGTTTTCAATCCTCAGAATTGGGCCTTCCTCAACTAGTACTGTCATGTCATGTGACTATTACCTTTTTTTCACAATACAAATATGTTTGTAACCAGTTTAACCAGCCTTGGTGTGACTGGGCTAATCCCTACCTCAGCCTTCCTCTTCGACATTCTTTGTGTTGCTTTTTTTCGTTTTCCTTTTCTTTATTCAGTTACAATACTAACTTCACTTACAACAGCAGCATTGCTTACAATACTAACACTACTTACGCAACTCAGATTACAACGCAGTTGACAATGCTACGAATTACGTTCAAAACAGTAACATTACTTATAATACTAACTCTACTTACAATTCTACTTTCTTTCATAACAAGAATTGATTCTTCTTAACAGTGATACTACTGATAATGACAGAACTAACAATATCACCACTAACAGAGATAATCCTATTTGTCAACAAAACACTTCTAAATAATACTAGTTCTTGCAACAAAAAGGCGTCGTGTTTTCCCATATCGATTTGTTTTGTTATTAACGCTTTGTAGGTGCGTTCTATTTTAAACAGGAATATCATAGACACTGTAATGTTAAAAGTTCTCATTACAGCTAGTCATTTAGTAATGTAGATAGCACATTTTTATAGCTAGTCATTTAGCAATGCAGATAGCACATTTTTATTTAATTTGTCGCAAGTTTCCCAGTTTACTAACATTTTCTCCCGAATACCCAAAATTAAGAAAAAAAAATAGCATATATTTATACCATAAATTAGAATACAAGCAGACCAAAATACCCCGGTATATTTTCATATTTGAAGGGTAAAAATACCGTATTCCCAATTTACTGCTCCCACCCCCTCCTCCTTGTGGTGTATCCCAAATCCCTCCTGGAGATCTTGAAATTGAGGGTAGTCGTGGAATCTATTTGTTAATGAGATTTTTGTCTGACGAAAGTATAACTTGATGGGCAATTCATCTTTTTCACTGCAAACCGTCAGAATTTCGGCGCATTTCGAATCTCAAGTTTGTAGTTGTTTTTTCTATGTTGATAATTAAGAAATAGATAGCCTAGCAGTGTGCGTTTGTTAACGAACTGGCGGCCGCTCCTTTGAATTTTCGAAGTGTCTGAAAATTTTGAACCACTAGTGGATTTATACTAAAACAATTAGATTATTCGCTCACGATTTTTATGCGTGAAAACAAGATTTTAAACCAATCAGCGCGCGTATTTACATAGGCCTATTTCCTTAACAGTTATGGGATGCACAACATTTGTGTCGGTCAAGAAAAACAGCCATTTTGGCCACGCCTCGTAAGCATTGTGTAATATGACTGTCAAATATAGTAACCATGTTGGCTAATCAATGCCCGCTTAGTTTCTTTGTTTATCTTATTGTTTTATGCTATTGCAGAACTGTTGTTAGTCTAGTTTTCATAGAGAGTGGGTTAGTAAATTATTAGGCCGGCTACAAAATTTTAAAGATAAATGTGGTCGATATGGATTAATTGATAGATTGATAAAGTCCTGAAGCTAGTAGGTATTGATTCAGGCTACAAGATTTGTGCTACCGGCAATGATTTATGGACTTATGAACTTCATATGTAATATCGAGAAAATGTACTCTAATGATCAGTGTAACCTGCACCCAATCCTGTTCTCACAGCTTCGCCTCTCACTTTTTTTTTCATCGTGCCACCCATAAAAGCGCAGGCTAAATTAATATGGTGTCGCGTTTTAACCTTCAGCACAAGATGTATGCGTAGTTTGTAACTCATTCTTTAGAAATCAAGAAGTAACCATTAAATAGACATGGCGATAAATAGCAACGTTTTGTGTGTA